GGGGGGAGAGAAGTAAAGCTCGAGGATCTAAGTTATATATATTTTAATAAAATATCTTTGATTATATTTATATAAATAATAAAAATAAAGCAAAAGGGGGGCGCAACAGCAAGAAGAGCAGCAGCAGCAACTGCGGCGGGGAGGTATCCTGTGCAGCCGCAGCAGCAGCAGCAGCAGCAGCGACGTCGATGTGCATACTATATGAAGACCCCAAACCCTTACATTCTAGCGTATTGATGTCTCTGTCTGTTTCGTGCTGCAGTAGGAGCCTTTGATCGTGCCTTGCTGCTGCTGCTGCTGCTGCTGCTGCTGCTGCTGCTGCTGCTGCTACTGCAGCGCCGCAGCAAGCGCAAGAGGCCCTGAGCGTGCCGCTGCCTCTCTGTACCCCGGTACCCTTTGGGGGCCCCCGTGGTGTTGTTAGTATTAGCAAGTGTTGCTGCTGAGGAGGCCCCATAGAAAACTAGTTTCGGTGCTCTGCCTCCATCAACAGCAGCAGCAGCAGCAGCAGCAGCAGCAGCAGCAGCAACAGCAGCAGCAGCAGCAGCAACTGTTGCCGCGACCGCAGCAGCAAGCGATCTTCTCCCCTTTCTCTCAGCCCCCAGGCTATAAAACAAGAAGAGAGATAAACTACCAACACACGTTTGTCTGTCTCCTTTGTTGCTGTTTGGGGGCCCCTCCACCGCACTGGAATCCCGCGGGGCCTCCTGCTGCAGCAGCAGCAGCAGCAGCAGCAGCAGCAACAGCAACAGCAGCAGCAGCAGCAACAGCAGCACGAAGGGCCTCTCCTTCGGTTGGTGCTGTTCTAGATAAACTATAGACGGAGTGTACATACACCTACACACTTACATATACATGCACAAGCCCCAGCAGCTGCATCAGCAGCAGCAGCAGCAGCAGCAGCAGCAGCAGCAGCAGCAGCAGCAGCAGCATGGAGAGCCCTAGGAGGCCCCCACCCATGATGACCCCTAGCTGCTGCGCAGCAGCAGCAGCAGAACACGGCGGGGATCGGGATCGTGTCGATCCCGCCCCCAGCACGGGAGACGCCTCAGAGGAGAGCTCCAGGGTTTCACCAGCAGCAGCAGCAGCAGCAACAACAGCAGCAGCAGCAGCAGCAGGAGCAGCAGCAGCAGGAGGATATCCATCAACACCAGCAACAACTGCAAC